CGTGTTGCAGTTATTGCGTTGCATCGTTGCGGTTACACGCCAATGAAAATTATTGACATACTAAAAATTTGAATATAACCAAAAGATTCGTTTATCGTACCATCAAACGATACAATGAAGCCTCTGTGTAGATGACAGGTCAAGAAGTCAAGGTTAGGACTCCAGCAATGATAAAAGCTGTGAAGGCGCGAATTCAAAGAATTCCCAAACGTAAGCAGAAATTGATTAAGGCAGCCGCCGATATTGACATGAACCTCGTTCGTGCTGCGATAGACTGGCCGCGCAGATTGAAGGCCAGACGGAGGTCATTTTGAATAAACTTTATTATCATAAGAATCTTTGTTTTGTTAAGTTCATTTTGGTATATAAATGGTTACATAATGAATAAACTTGTTCCAATTATTTTATATTAAACATGTGACAGAATTTATGACCTGACTAGGTATAATACATAATGAACATCTTGGTAACAATGACCTGTTTACTATACAGGAAAATCTCGCATGCATCGAGGCCAGCTGCAAGAATATGACGAAACATCATTTCATTAGGATTTTTCACTGAGCGTGTAGCCTCGCTTGGTGCTAAGAGCTAACTCTTTGCACAAAGCGGTTCTGGCCTAAAATGTTAAAAGGCTGGCAAACAAGCGAATGGACCTCCTGATGGTAAGTGACCACCATAAACCTATAGACGCTTGGGATACAAAAAATATCCCTCGACCCTGACCTAATCCCTACCCCGTGGATGCCTGGAACCTTACTAACTGACATAATCACAACACCACCAAAAGGTAGTGTTATTTTACTGGGAGCTCGATGGCGCAGGTGGTTAGCGCGCTCGGCTGCGGTCGTTGATTTAAGCAACTTTCGCAGTGGTCGGTCGTTGGATGGGTGACCAAAAAAAAATTATTTCTACCTCGAGTTCCTCCGTGCTCCGAAAGGCACGTTAAGCCGTTGGTCCCGGCTGCATCTGCAGTCGTTAGCACCCGCTAATCCGCACTGGGCCCGCGTAGTGGTTCATGGCCCAATCTCCCTATTCCATCCATAGGGAAGGCCTGTTCCCCCACCAGTGGGGACATTAATAGGCTGATGATGACTGTGATCTTCTGTAAGGTAGAACATTGCAAATTCTACTTTAATATACATAATTCTTAAAAATATATAAAAACATAACTATAATTGCTATTTCTTCTTTCAAATGTTTAATACTTGAAAAAGTATTCATTTGACATTGTGGGTTACCTACAATGCGAAGAGATGGCGCTGCTTTGCAGCTTAAGGCTAGGAAAATTGCGACGCGGCGAATAGGGCCGTGGTAGCATAATGGTCAGTGCATTCGCCCGGAATGGTGCGGGTTCGAGTCCCGTCCGCTGCCTGGTCCGCGTGGATTTTTTCTAGTAAACTTTTCTTTAGATTTAAACATCTAGCAGTTAAAAGCTAAAAAATAAATAAAAACATACATAATACTCCTACACGAACAAAGAAATTTGGTGACTCATTTCTTTGTCGTACTATTCGTAAGTGGAATTCTTTGCCCGCACACGTGTTCCCTCCTTCCTACAATCTGGGGTCCTTTAAGAGAGGCGTGAAGAAGCATTTTTGCAGGCCGGCAAGGTGAGGATGGTTGGTGTGGCAGTTTATAACTGCTGTACCAGCTATCTTCGCGTTTGGACTTTATCACCAACTTAACATCAGGTGGGGTAGAGTCATTTGCCTACCTGGCTATAAAAATATATATGTTAATATTAAATAATGCCTGCTTACGGTACTCACATCCCATTAATGGTGCGTTTAACTTCTTTACGTCGAATCTCGTCAAAAATTGTCAACACTTTTTCGTAAATTAGTATTTCCGATTGCGACCATAAAGATACAGTTTAATATATATTTTTACAATGTCAATTTTATCGTATTATGAACACATTCACCATAACACAAGTCACCAGATAGATGGGCCGGGCCTCTTTGATAGAGCACGGACTGGGTTTTTTGTCATATTCATAAAATGGTTTTTCCAACACATGTAAGATTATGTAGGGAACGTGGTCGTATTGTTTTAAATATATATATATCTGGTATTTATCTGATCATGGTAGCTATTTAAATCCATACTACTGTACTAATATTATAAATACGAAAGTGTGTCTGTCTGTCTATTACCTCTTCACGCTTAAACCACTTAACCGTTTGAGATGAAATTGGTATAGAGATAGTTTGAGACCAGGGAAAGGTTATAGGATAGATTTTGTACCAGAAATAATCTTTTAAAGGGGTGAAAAAGTAGTTTGTACCGTCACCATTATTATCTTATACATAAAATTCTCGTGTCACAATGTTAGTTACCATACTCCTCCGAAACGGCTTGACCGTTTTTTATAAAATTTTTAAAGCATATTCAGTAGGTCTGAGAATCGGCTACTATCTATTTTTCACACCCCTAACTGGTATGGGTTGTCCACCCTTAACATTTCTTTATTTTTTGGACAATTTTTAAATTTTTATATAATTTGGCATTAAAAAATACATTCAACCCTAAATTTTCACCCTTCTACCACCAGCCCCTATTTTTATGGCGGTACGAAGTTCGCTAGGTCAGCTAATTTTGTATAAATATTAATTTCATTAGTCATTTTGACTCTAAAATGACTAACTGACCTGATCTAGGTCTGCCGACTAAGCCTATTGTGATATTGATATAATTTTTGTTAATTGGGTGTTTTTGTCAACATACCTACCTATTAATAGCAATAATGTTCTAAATCAGTACATATGTAAGACTAAGGTATATGTTTACGCGCCTAAGTAGCCTGATCATAAATAAATCTTTATATATATAATTCTTCTGTGAGTGTGTATGTCACTGAACTTCTCTTAAACGACTGGACCGATTTTGATGAAATTTTTTGTGTGTGTTCAAGGGGATCTGAGAATGGTTTAGATTCACAAAGACGTGTAGACAGGACAACGTCCCAGCGAACTTCGTACCGCCCTAAAAAAATAGGGGTTGTCCAGCGGACAAAATTGTGAATCTAAACCATTCTCAGATCCCCTTGAACACACACAAAAAAATTCATCAAAATCGGTCCAGTCGTTTAAGAGAAGTTCAGTGACATACACACTCACAGAAGAATTATATATATAAAGATACATATACACACATCAAAAGTGTCTAGGGATCAAGCATTTTTATGCGGATTTCTTGAGATTGAGATGTGGCTTTGTAATAAATTTATGATTTTATAAATTTATATGGATCCTTTTTGGTGCATTTCATAATTTGAATCAGGAACTGTGAATCAAATTCGAGTAAAAGATGAAAATCAGCTGTCAATATTTTCCCCATAAAACATACAACGCATTGAAGACATTATTAATGCTACTGTTTCCCTACTACTGATTAAAACCAACGTTATTATGGAGCGGCGACGTCATTTAAGCAGGGAAGAAATGCTCAGAGCCGTGGGAATGATAGAAGCTGGTTCCCGGCAACGTACTGTGGCTTTAGCTCTGAATACAAGTCAGAGTGTTATCAGTCGACTTTGGACACGATACCGAAGCACTGGTACCGTGGCTGAGCGCCATGGAGGACGGTATCGCTGCACCACACGGAGACAAGACCGATACATTCAAATCTTAACTCGAAGAGCTCCAACAATAACCGCCATGATGTTAGCCGTGAGGCTTCATCACTCTTCAGGGAACTTAATTAGCGACCAAACAGTCAGAAACCGCTTGCATGAAGTGAACCTTCATTCCCGAAGACCGCTACGGGTACCACCTATAGCAATGCACAATCGTAGGATTCGATATCAATGGGCTCTTGAACACAGAAATTGGGCAGAAGAACAATGGCGTTTCGTGTGCTTTTCTGATGAGTCTCGTTTTGGTATGAGACCGGATACAAGACGTATACGACACTGGAGAACCCCTGGACGCCAACAGCGATTAAAATCCTGCCAGGAAGTCCATCCTTATAGTGGTGGAACCATCATGGTATGGGCGGGTATTTGGATCGGCGGAAGAACTGAGTTGATTTGGATCAGAGGCAACCTCAACGCTCAAATTTATGCTGAGACGATTGTATCAGACGTCATCGTTCCTCTACAAGTGCAAATCGGTCCCTTATTTCAGTTAATGCATGATAATGCACGACCGCACACCGCAAGAGTTGTAAGACAGACTCTCGCCGCAGCTAACATCAATGTCCTGCCCTGGCCTGCTCAGTCGCCAGACTTGAACCCAATTGAGCATGCATGGGATATGCTACAGAGAAGAGCTCTGCCGAATATGGAGGGTATCCAGTCGCAAGAAGACCTTTTTTTGTTGTTGCAACGAACATGGGCGGCCATTCCACAGCGTGATTTGGATGAACTCATTTTGAGTATGCCAAACCGATGTTCTTGTGTTGTTAGTGTTCGCGGTAGAAATACGGATTATTAATTGTTTAAGTTACCCAATAAAATTTTAGAGAAAACTGTTATTTCAGTCTTTTTTTCGAACTTTTGTGTTAGTGGTTCAAATGTCAAAAATCCCTTTATTAGGAAAATGGCAAATTTCTTTATTAATGCAAAGGTGACTTGGTTTATCGTTACTGTGACAAACGAAAACACTTTATTTGATGAATCCTTAAAGAAAATTTTAATTAATATCAATCAGGAGAAAAGTTATTGCAAAAATATATGTTGATCCCTAGACACTTTTGATGTGTGTATTTAAGGGATTACCTCCTCCCCCAATAGGCGCGTTATTAAGGTTTATTAAATCGGATGCGTTATTGCGATATCGGTTTTTAGTACATTAGGTACACTCGGTATATTAGGAGCTGCGACGCGACGCTGCGATAATAACGACGCAATAGAAGTATGACAAAATATCGCAATAAAATAAAGCATCTGATATTATCGATAGATACGCGTCTATCTATGGGCGGGAGCACGAAGTTATATTAATTTCATGGGCGGGAGATTGTTTTTTATTCAAAAGGTTACAGTTAATATAATACTCCTTCGTGGATGCTCTGTCAGAGAAAAAATACACATCAAATTCCAAATTTAAAACTGATGTCTGTCAGTCGCTGTTGCGAAACAATAGTGACGGCACGTTTTGATACAGAAAATACTTATTGATTTGTGTAAAAATGCCCGAGAATGTGTTGCCGATGCTGCCGAAGATACCGCAGAGTCCCGCGCCGGTGGCCCGCGCCGGGGCCGGCGACATATCGGAAAGGGAGCTGTCCCGGGAGAGGCATAACATGCAAACACCGCCCACGTAAGTACCTAACTTTGAGATAACCGGGCGGAAGTACTAACCAACCACTTTCCTTTTGAGTTATTTTTAGTCCTTTAACCTTTAAAAATTTCGGTTTTAAACGCGCACTTTCACAAAGATTTTTGTACTTTCTTTATCCCGTCGTCGCCGTCGTCCTGAGACCGCGACCTGTGTCTTCTTCTTTGCCGATTCACTCTTGACAGAGCGGTCGTGGTCATCAGGTAGCGGTCAGGTTCCGGGCAGCCATAATCCTCTTCACGATGCGACGCCATCCTTCCCTGTCGGTTGTGCTACGTGTGCACTCGTGCAAGGGGCCGCCTACTGCCGATTTGATCTGGTCGGTCCAGCGCATGGGCGACCTGCCACGTGCCCTCGTGCCTTCGACCTTCCCCTGTACTACAAGACGCTCTATGGACGTGTTGTCCCGTCGTGAAACGTGCCCAAAGAACTGTAGTATTCGAGTCTGGACTACGTTTGTTAGACGCTGTTTGACACTGAGTTCTTGGAGAATAGATGCATTGGTGCGAAACTCTGTCCACTTCACTCCAAGCATTTTTCTCCAGCACCACATCTCTAGTGCATTTATTTTCTTTTTCTCAATTTCTCTCAGCGTCCACGTCTTGGCAGCGTACAGAAAAATGGGGAATATCAGTACCCGGACAAGTCTCGACCTGTGTCACCTGGTCGAAATCCATATTAAAATGCGTGTTTTAACCCTTTTGAGTTATTTTTAGTCCACCTTTAGAAATGTGGGTTTTAAACGCGCACTTAGACAAAGGTTTTCGTACTTTCTTTATCCCGTCGTCACCCTGTGACCACGACCGGTGTCACCTGGTCGAAATCCTTATTAAAGTGCGTGTTTAACCCTTAAAATATTATTTTATTTGAATGTTAGGCTAAAACATAAAAGGAAGATACGGTACGCTCATACTAGCATCAAATAAAATATGCTCCAATTCAACTACTTATGCAACTCTCACACACGCACATGTCTGTAAATAAACATTCAATCGATCGAACGAGACAGAACTGTACCCTTAGCACGAACCAATATCGAATTCGTATCGCTTGCGAGTCCGAAATGTCATTGTCAAATGTGTACTGATTTTTAGTTCTCGTTACGTACTTTGTGCCGCTGCTGTTCAAGTTTCCATGCAAAATTAGACATTGACATTTCGGTTTGCAAACTATTCGAATTCGATAATGGTTCGTGCTAGGAGTACTGTACCATTAGCACGAACCAAAATCGAATTCGTAACGTTTGACGGTGCGAAATGTCAATGTCATATTTTGTATGGAAACTTGAACAGCAGCACCACAAAGTCCGTAACGACAACTAAAAATCAGTACACATTTGACAATGACATTTCGAACTCGCAAACGTTACGAATTCGATATTGGTTCGTGCTAGGGGTATTGTAACGCTTTTACAAAGCGCGAGCGAAACGGCAAGTCTGCCTCCGAGTCCGCATGGCTGAAAAAAATGTTTCTACATTTTTACGAATAAAAAGTGTTGCCCAAGCAATTTTTATTTGATTTTGAACTAAAAGTTTATAAAAGCATCAAAGTCATTGTTTTATCTTTATAACACTATTAAATTGTTATATTAAGTGCACATGCAGCGTGTTTGAATGTCCAATTGTGACTAAAGCGAATTGATGTCGGTCATGCACCACAATTTAAGCGGATCACTAATGAGCCGCGTGTACCGTATCTTCATTTCTTTTTTGTTTTTATTTAAGATTTGAATGTAACGGTGGTTGCGGAGGAACTCGATGGCGCAGGTGGTAAGCGCGTTCGGCTGCGATCGTTGAAGTTAAGCAACTTTCGCAGTGGTCTGTCATTGGATGGGTGACCAAAAATTTCTATCTCGAGTTCCTCCGTGCTTCGGAAGGCACGTTAAGCCGTTGGTCCCGGTTGCATCTGCAGTTAGCACCTGCACAGGGCCCGCGTGGTGGTTCATGGCCCAATCTCCCTATTCCATCCATAGAGAAGGCCTGTGCCCCAGCAGTGGGGACATTAAGAGGCTGATGATGAATGATGGTGGTTGCAGCATATAGATGCTTGCGGTACCTGACTATCACCTTACACCGACAGAAACATAACGCCACCAAATAGGGGTATTATTTCACAATGTTCTTCAGTACCTAACGTGGAAATTACTCCCCCTATACCTTTTGTAAAGCACTTTCGGCCCGATATACAAGCTCTAAATTAACTGTAAAAGGGTACGGCCAGAGTGCACTCAGATTCAGACTCAGAAAACAAGTGTAGTTAAAGCAGGGTTAGTCCAGTCGGAATAAACATGAGACCTATTCTAAGACACCAGCGTTTAGCCAATTTTTTCCTAGATAGTATAGACCCCCACGAATATGCCCTCCATTTGTCCCCGCTAGAACCAGTGTTTTGTAGCCAGGAAAATTGTTTAAACAAAGAAAAACCGGTTTTTTTTGAGTTTTTTTGCTTGTAAACGGGGATTTTGAAAATTTTTTTGAATCAAAGTTGTTCATTAGCTTGCCCTCTACAAAATCAGTTCTATGAAAAAATAACGTGAGATTGTTAGTTTAGCAGTAAATTGCAATTATGTCGGTTTTACGTTTGCAACAATTCAACATGTTATAATAAGCATTTTGATTTCTAAAGTAGTTTATTATGTGGGTAACGCCACTCCCAAGAGAGTCATGTAAAATTTATCGACCTGTGTCGCAAACTTTAGCATCAATTCTCAATCTCCGAAAAAAAGTACTTGCCTGTCCCGTCTTTCCCAGAAGGCGCACAGCGGGAAAAAAAATTCAGGTGATTCGATTCACCAAGAATTTTGAGGAATCGATCGAGTAGAAAAAAATCGTTAATAAAAATGTTCGTTTTTGGACGATTTAAATTTTTTTTAAAAATTGACGTAGATTTTTTTTTTTAAACTAATGTCTTTTTCTCTCCTCAACTCGAATATACGATTGAAAATTTAAAAAATTCAGTTTATTTACTTATTTAACTAAATAAATTAACTAAAATTCGATTACAAGACTGCGTTGTATTCTATATTTCTAATTAAATTAATTTCGTCCTTTTTTCTTCCGGTTCATAATCGGAATTCTCAGGGTATATTAGTATTATATATATATATATATATATATATATATATATATATATATTCAGAATAGTATATTCGAATTGAGGAGAGAAAAATACATTAGTTTAAAAAAAAATTAATCTACGTCAATTTTTAAAAAAAAATTAAATCGTCCAAAAACGAACATTTTTACTAACGATTTTTTTCTACTCGATCGATTCCTCAAAATTCTTGGCGAATCGAATCACCTGAATTTTTTTTCCCGCTGTGCGCCTTCTGGGAAAGACGGGACAGGCAAGTACTTTTTTTTCGGAGATTGAGAATTATTGCTAAAGTTTGCGACACAGGTCGATAAATTTTACATGACTCTCTTGGGAGTGGCGTTACCCACATGATAAACTACTTTAGAAATCAAAATGTTTATTATAACATGTTGAATTGTTGCAAACGTAAAACCGACATAATTGCAATTTACTGCTAAACTAACAATCTCACGTTATTTTTTCATAGACCTGATTTTGTAGAAGGCAAGCTAATGAACAACTTTGATTCAAAAAAATTTTCAAAATCCCCGTTTACAAGCAAAAAAACTCAAAAAAAACGGGTTTTCTTTGTTTAAACAATTTTCCTGGCTACAAAACACGGTTTCTAGCGGGGACAAATGGAGGGCATATTCGTGGGGGTCTATACTATCTAGGAAAAAATTGGCTAAGCGCTGGTGTCTTAGAAAAGAAGTCGGTCCAAATTATGGCTATTCCGACTGGACTAGGTGGCCATAGTGGCAGCAGGCAACCTGCTTAGACTACACTGTTTATTTTTTCGCGCTTGTTTTCTAAGTCTGAATCTGAATCTGAGTGCACTCTGGCCGTACCCAAACAACTGACCGCTGCTTTTGCTCCAATCGAACAAATTAATCTTATCGCTGAGTTCTCACAATATAAATAAACCTTTTGGTGTGCAGTAGAGTCCAGCCCGCGCACCCTAAGAAGCAGCTGTTCTCTGTGCCCGTCAACAAGTTTACCGGCAAGCCTGGCGCGCCTAGTGGCAACCTGGCACGCCTGCGCAGCTGCCTGGACGAGTACTGCCTTGCCACGCCTGCCAGGCCGGCGCCTGCGCCGCGCCTCAGGCCCAAGGCGATCTCCATGGAGGACCTTACTCCGAAGAAAAGCAAGACTCGAAGGTAACAATTTTGAAATGAAAGAAAGAAAGAGAACCATTGTAATGTTCAATAATAAAATGAATATTTTGAAGAATTAAAATAAAATAAATTAAAAATAAAAATCATTTATTTCAAGACATTGGTCTCGTATATGTTAGTAACAATTTTTCTTAACCTATGTTAGTATTTCATTACAATTTCAATCACCGTTTGAACTAGAACGCTTTTAAAGAACACTTCAAGTGTGGAGGAACATATTTTTTTATTTGTTAATATACTACGCGTTCGCTTTGAGTGGTCCGCCTCACAGCACTTTTCAACAGACTCTATTAACCTGCCTTTGATTGTCCCATGACATCATGCAAGGGTTTTCGGTCTGCGATCGCGGAATTTTCGTGCTTCGGATTCGGAAGGCATGTCAAGTCGGCGGTCCCGGCTGCATTTGCAATTGTTAGCACCCACCAATCTGCCTTTGGTGGGGCACGTCAGTCAGCCCAGTCCCCTTTCCATCAATAGGGAAGCCTTGTGCCCCATCAGTGGGGACATTTATATCTAATCATTTTACCTAAAGTTCTGCTTACGCTGACATGGCTGTTTGCTAGCAGAAATCATATTCTTTACGCAATACACCGTGTTCCTGAGGTTATACACTAACTTTGGCATGTTATTCAGACTATTAAATTGATCATTTTTTACTATGGACACTTATGAATTCCAATTTCTTTAACATTTTATATTTTCATACAAACTAAATGCTTAGATGTAATTTATCAAATATGAATTACTCTACCTGAGCTGGCAACGTCGCATTTGAAACTTTGGTTCACATGTCCACATAAACTTTTTGAAACTTTTCTTGACGTCAACAATGTTTTTTAAAATTTTGACTTTTGAAACTATGACTTAATGACCATTGACAAAGAGTTTTGGTTGCACAAAGTGGCAACATCTCACAGATAAAGACTCTTTCTCACTGCACAACACAATTAAGTCGGTTAAACTTAAATTACAAATAACTTAAAAACTATGCTATTTAAACTACTACTTTCCTTGTACGATATGTTTAACAAGAGTTTAAGTATAGAAGTGTTATTCAAAGTTAATGTATATCCTCAGGAACACGGTGTGTATACTGTGGTACTCCTATTTCTCTCATCAATATTGCACATGATGGCAGGAATGAGAAGAGCCTGTCAACGGTGAAGTCCCCGGGGGTCCGCACGCTGGCGCAGGAGGAGGCGGCGGCGCGCGTGGCTCGGTTCATGGTGGTGTGCGCGTGGCGACGCCGCCGGCACGAGGTGCGCTGTCTGCGCCGCACGCTCGAGTGCCAGGTGAGACTTTTTTTGAAGTTATACTTCCTTAGGCGCGTTATGAAAAAATGATGAGAGTGAAATTTTAAGATGCGCGCGCATCACTGTAACACAAAATTTTAACAGCATGAAGTTGGAAGCTTTAGCGACCAACTTCATGCGTTACTTTTGTGTTTACCGCACATTAAGAAAATCTACCAACAAAATAGAAATAGAATCTCTATTTAGTGGGTGCTAACGACTGCATTGTGAAGGCCTATCAAAAGTATTTATTAATCTGGAACAACGGAACCAAAGTGCGATTCAGGAGACTACAGCGCCATCTCTTGACCATTGGTGTAGTAGAACCAAAAACCACATCTTTATTTTTTGTAATAAAGTAACAGTTATAGGTATTCATATTTATAATATTTATCCACATGTTTCTAGTTTGTATATTCGGAATACGTGTTTGAGTTTCATACAAGTGCAAATCACATATGTTCCAATAAATTATATAGCAGTAGCGATTTTAATTGAATATTTTGATTATTTATTTATTTTTTCAAATTATAACTGAACTTTATTGACTGTGTCCTTTTCCAGACTTTTTATTAATTTATTGTTATTAATTATTTGCATGCAATTAAAAACTAATTTTAAACGATGCCAAAGAAGGATAACTTCTCACGCGCCTACATAAGTACACTCACCCATTTTTTTTGTTATCTCCCAGGCGCGAGGAAGCGCGTGAGAAATCCTCAAGGATACCCTACAGCCGGCCGCAAGGCTATGTCAGACTCTGACTAAAAATACCCGTAGATGCCTATGTCCTTACAGGATTCACCTGATGCGATCAAACCCTGAGAAGGGGATGATGCAGCGCTGCCTTAGTAAATACTAATGCATAGTTCGCTTAGAGGACGGTGGCACTCTGATGTGCACCCTTATCGGTTTGAGACTGAGTGACTGAAGGTCTCTCAGGATCGGGGGGGTGGGTGTGGGGGTTACAGAGACAAGCACGCGGAAAATACTAGCCATCTTTTAGAGGGGAGACGGGAAATGGTTTTCACCACTTATTATTCTATGGTGTATGGTGATGAAATACTATGTCGCTATGTTTTGCTTTTTTTGTAAATGCTTATTGAATCGCCACACTAGGCGTCTTTAGTGCAGACATATGATTATTTTAAAAATTAGGAGGAATCGGTGGAGAACATATGTATGGAAAAAATAATAAATAAATAAATATTTCCAACACTCAAACCAATTAGCCTAGCCCCAAAGTAAGCACTATATATGGCTTGTGTTATGAGATGCTAGGGTAACGGATAGAATACATAAACTGTACATATATTATATATACTTATATTTATATAGAATACGTATTAAACATCCATGACTGGAGGACAAATGCTCGTATTCCTCACACAAACATCTGGCCTCACCAGGATTCGAACCCGGGACCTCTCGAGTCGGCGACACCATGAAACCCGGCGTACAAAACACTTGGCCACGGTAATAAGCTCAGGTCCGCTCTTAAAATTTGACAGATACAACAAAGAAAAATAAACCCTATTTCGTCGAGTCGGGCTATCTTGGCAACCCTTGTGGTGTGCCTTTACGCCGTATTTAAGAACTACTTATCATAGATGCTATTATTTCAGATTTTGCAGCTGAGTCGCAGTCACTACAGTGTTAATACAGTCATGCAATGAAACTGCGACTTTTGGCCCGACAGCTTCCGACAAGCTCATAGCGTTTCTAGCTTTTAAAGATTTGACTTCCTCCGAGCGTTATAAACATTATAAGTCGCACCAGTTGAATACTGCGTTTGTGGATAAGAGGCCCACATTCACATAGAAGGTGAAACATGTGACATCAGTGTCAATTTGATTTGATCAGGTTTCGTGCTCGGAGCGGCTGCGTATGCAGGTGGCCACCCTAAAGAGCCTGCTGGACGGAGACAACTGCAAGCTGCGGCTCGCCATGCGGGAGCTGGAACGCCTCAAGCAGCTGCTGCGGGACAAGGACGTAGAGAAGGCGCTGCTGGAACGGGTGATCTTCCTATACATGTAGTATACAGAAATAGAACACATACCATCATTTCACTTCATTTCAAATCAAATCATAAATCAATCAAATAAAATGAAATCAAAAGCAAATACAAATTAGGAAAAATAAAACAAAATTGATTTCTAACAAACAAGGATGTCAAATATCATCCCTGACCCACCCCTAGCTATACCACTGGGGGTACGGTGGGACTGAACCATACCACCGTCGTGCTGAGATTTGATGGAAAAATAAAAAATAGGGACCTAACAGATACAAATGTTAATTTTATTTATTTGGTCCGCGTGGATTTTTTTCTAGTATTATTTTCTTAACATTTAAACAACGAGCAGTTACATGCTTAAATTAAAAAAATATAACAAACTAGCAAACCAGTGAACCAAATGTTCACCAAAAAAAAATATATACTTATGTATTTAATTACTTGAGAACTTCGGTGATTTTGTGTGGTTTCGTTTGAAATAGAAATCACGTGATTTCTCAAAAACCGGAAGTGCTACGTTACTCAAATCCGGTTTGTAGTCTTATCAGACTATTAACTTAAACATTCTCTTTATCTATCTCTTACGGTTTGGCCGCTGAAACAGCACCACGGACGGACGGACTTGTCTAATAGATAAGAGATATTTAGTTTATTAAACTGGAAAAACCGAAGCCGTTGTGGCAAAACAAAACTAAAAATATAACAAATACTTATTTTGTTATTTATCTTCAACAGAAAAAACTTCAAAGATGATAATCTATGTTCTTAATTTGTCTAAGGCATGCCCAGTGGTGATTTCGTAGTGAACTAACTGCATTTGGACTTCTGTAATACAATCATCATTAATAATTTGTTCCGCTCGAATATTTTTAGGAGAAACTTTATGAATATTGTGTAGTGTATTTAACAGTGGCATTAAAGTTACAGTATTCTATTTAAGATTTTTTTCAATTTTGAATGAAACGACTAAAATATTTATCGTTCGATGTCTTTCACCGTAAATGCTGAAAACGTCGCAAGTATGTATTTTTACCCAAAAAAAATTAAATGTAGTTTATGACCTTATGCATCCGTTTTAAGCTATCGCATTCTGATTGAATATAATCTAGTCCTAGTAATATTTCATCGGCAGGTAAAAGCGGTAAGGCGACTGTGATTCCCACGATTATTCTCTCAGGTTATGTTTGCGTAATGCGGAACTTCGGCGATTTAGCATTTTCCCCTATTGCGTACCTAGTAGTCCTTTAAAGTGAAATTTGAAAAGACTCAAAATTGCATTCATTGCAATTTTTTCATAATCACAGTGTATTTTAAATGGTTTCCACTCCGGTGTTTGTTACAAAATCAAATTGGACAAAATTACTTGGCTTTTTTTTTGTACGGTTTCTCATCAAGGCAAAAATTAGCGGCAAAATCGTATCTGTAGTACTGCTGACATAGCCATGAATAATTTAATTAATAAAGTAATTTATTTAATTCTTTTTCATAATTTTGAGTTTATTTATTTGACCCTAACTACCGTAAACTACCAGCGGTTCCAAAATTGGGAGACCTTTCTAAGAAGAACCGGCGAAACAAACTCAGAGAGGCTTTCTATCTCCCTCTTATGTTAAATTATGCAAACAAAAAGAACTAACAGTATCTATTGGCCCTATTGTGTGTGCTCGGGGTTGGGATTTTATGTTGTTTTATGGGTTCCCAAACTGGTGGTATATACCAACCATCTTCCCTATCGAAATTTGGATATTTTTTAATCTCAATAGCTTGTGTATCATTCTAGGAATGAATCCTTGTTCAGTTGCGAGGATCTGTGGTTTCTCAAATCTAATGTAATGGTTTAGTCCCCCTAATTCAAATCATAACCATTAGAACTGAACAACGATCAAGCAAGCAAGCATAGACAATAAAGTTTTAAAAATCTTCCAATGATATATCCGAACGCTCTGTAAAAGTCTTTCGAAGGTAGCTCGAGAAAGTAAATAAAAAATCATTATTTCTGAAGACGCAGTCCTGAAAAGGCTGCGAAACGTCAGATAAATAAATTCAGTGCATAGAACCCGTAAAAATCGTTTTATAAACGTTATGCATTACCCGTGAATCATTATTTTATTATAATAAATCTGTAATAGGTGTCTAAGTAAAATAAAGCTAATGCTGTACTACTCTCTAGCCGAGTCACATATACAATATGGTTTGAGTAGCTATGGCCGTACCTATCAGACTTATTTAAATAAAATATATAACCTCCAACTTAACATTTTAAAGAATATTGATTGTATCAGGTAAAATTCTACGAAAATATCATAATGACGATATTCGTCTTTTTAAACATTGCCTGTTATATTTTCAGTTTAACTACATTTTTATTAAAATGCAACTCTTTAAGGTTCAGACGAGTCGCGCATCTAATGTATACGGAAAAAGAACTGCCACCTGCCTACTTCCAAGAATTTATCAATGAATTGCCGCCAAAATTACGGGTCACTCTAACAAACTCTAATATTAAAAATAAATTAAAAGAATACTTTTTAAACTATTTATAATAATGAATTTCATAATTACTTATAGAATGTACTTATCCAAGCCGTTTATATTTTGCCTATTTTAAATGTGCATTCATACCATTTTTATTATTATTGGAACAAAATAACTCCAATAGCAATTTAAATATTGTCGTTCAGGCGTACATCGCATAAATTCAAACCTTTGTGGTTTTAAGATGCGATTGATCACAACATTATAATTATATTTCTATTTCTTTGAAACTGGTAATAATTATAATAATGTTTAATGTTATACATTGTAAAAAAATAATATTTAGGAATATCATTTTGTGTGTATTTTTAATGAAATAAAGGAAATAATAATAATAAAAAAATAATAAATGCAAAACCGTCTCAAGAAAAGTCAATCCGATAAAAAAGAACACATATTAAATGCGTCGTTATATACATTATATGCAGATTTAAATTGTGCTAAAGTAATATTTAAAATGTTTATTTATTAAAAAGAAGTTATTTTGTGACTCAAAGAATCCTCAGGAGTATCCTTCATTTTGAGCAGATTTGATGTGTCGATTGTATTGCTGTATTTACTTTGAGTAAATATATTGCATAAACTCGTTTTGTTGTTACCCATGTTTTTATAACGTCTTTTTGTTTTTTTCTAGTTCCAAAATATCATGCGCTTTCTTAAGAAATCAATATGAAATATGTTGGTGCTGTACTTCCTGTAGCGCTTATGTTATTTGTAGATTTATGTTATTGAGATATTTTTAAAAATGGATGCGTGTAACTTATGTACGCGCGTGAGAAGTTATACTTCTTTAGCATCATTAAAAATATTTTTTAATTAATTACAATAAATTAATAAAAAGTCTGGAAAAGGACAGAGTCAATAAAGTTCAGTTTTAATTTGAAAAAATAAATAAATAATCAAAATATTCAATTAAAATCGCTATTGAATATAATTTATTAGAACATATGTGATTTGCACTTGTATGAAACTCAAACACGTATTCCGAATATACAAACTAGAAACATGTGGATAAATATTATAAATATGAATACCTATAACTGTTACTTTATTACAAAAAATAAAGATGTGGTTTTTGGTTCTACTACACCAATGGTCAAGAGATGGCGCTGTAGTCTCCTGAATCGTGCTTTGGTTCCGTTGTTCCAGATTAATAAATACTTTAGATAGGCCTTCACAATGCAGTCGTTAGCACCCACTAAATAGAGATTCTATTTCTATTTTGTTGGTAGATTTTCTTAATGTGCGGTAAACACAAAAGTAACTTTAAGTCGCTTTAGCGACCAACTTCATGCTGTTAATTTTTGTGTTACAGTGATGCGCGCGCATCTTAAAATTTCACTCATCATTTTTTCATAACGCGCCTAAAGAAGTATAACTTCAAAAAAAAATCAAGAAAATGAAAAAGTGATGATGTGATAACACCTAACTCCGATGGCTATTTCACGAAACAAACAATAATTTTAAGACCACGACGAACACGAAGAACACGTCCTCCATCTCCGGACTCTTCGCTCAGCTCCGCCTCGCAGCCGCCCCCGCCCCCGCCGACCGAAGAGACCCCGTCGGTGGCTATGACAGCGCCGACCTCGAGCAACGAGTACTTCTCCCCGCCGAAGTCGCCAACACCTGTGCGCCGACCGGGGAGACCCCGGCCAACAGCCAAGGGGGGATCCAGCTTTGGCGCCAGGGGGGGGGGGGTCATATAGCCAGCCTTGGCGCCAGGGGGGTCATATAGCCAGCTTTGACGCCAGGGGGGGGTCATATAGCCAGCTTTGGCGCCAGGGGGGGGGGTCATATAGTCGTGGTATATTAAATATTGAAAGTACTTAAATAAAATCCCCCTGGGTTTGGTCCATCTGTACCCAGCCCAGGGGGGGGTCATGACCCCCATGACCCTCTCCCTGGATCCGCCCTTGCCAACAGCAAGCTTAGGATTCAGGAGCCACTCGGCTCCGAGCCGGGCCCCCGTTGCCGATGGTTGTGTGCCGCTCATGCGATGGACTCGGTCAATAAATGAGAACGTCATGAGCGCATACTGTGGCTCTACAGAGGGTGGAACTAACCTCACCGCCTAACGTGTAAGGATGCATGCTCTGTTTGAGGACCTGGAACCAGCCCTCAACGTTTCGGCCCAGCGACTGCAAACCGAATGCATCACCCACGTTTAACGGTCATGAGGCTGTACATCCCACGGCAATGTAGAGGTCGTGGCTTTTTAAATGCCAAGACTCCACAACCGTGAGGTGTGCAGCCTTAGGGAATACTTTTTTAAAGCTGAGGTGGGTATGCTTGGGGATGTGGTCGCAGTGGACTCGGGCTTGACCCCACTATCCTTGGCTGAAGAGAACTGGCGCAAACCTGTAATAATAACTACAGATGGACGCAGGGAGGTATGGCAGAGCAAAGAGCATATTATATATATATAGGTTAATGAGGTTCATCACCCTTCATTCAATACAGACGGTAAAATAGTGAGTGACCATAGAAAAAGATATGGTTTTGAGATCCGTCAATTAATAAATAAAATATAATATTTGTGCACGAAAAATTGTACGGAATAATAGCTATAAATGTTGTTTCTCATTTCTGAGCAACACAATTGTTTTATTTCGTAATAAAATCTATTTAGTTCATAAAATCACATTATATATATATATATATATACCAAACTTGCTCTGAAATACAACCTTGTTGCTTCTGAGATGCCATATTACAAGTATGTTTCCGACCCAGTTCTCGAAAGGGTCATATCACGCTGTACTGGGACCGATCTACCATCATTCCAATGATAGTTGATGTGACCATCGCTCATGAACCTCATGAAAGCCGAGAAAGATAAACAAATAAAATATCTTGACTTGGCTCTTGAAATTTTCGCTATGTGGGATGTCCTCAGGCACGGTGGAGTGACGATTTTGCGCAAGGTGGCTGGCAGGAGCTGGATGCGAGTAGCCCAAAATCGATCTGAGTGGCGTGCAATTGGAGAGGCCTATGTCCAGCTTGTCGCCATGTGGGATGTTGACTCGCTATCATTGTGCCGATAGTTGTGACGGTCAATGGCCTGAGGGCCCAGAGCCTCGGCTGTTATCTGCGGAGACTCCAGTTAAGTGACTGGGTCAAGATTCTGACACAGAAGGCAGTGCTCCTTGACACGGCTCGCATAGTGAGGAGGTTCCTTTCTCTGGGGCCCTAACCACCGGTAGCTAGGACCCTGTTCCCGATGCCTGTTGGCTTCTATTTTTTTATATTTCTAAATGTTTTTATTTTTATATTAATATTAAAAGATGTAATTAATATGGTATACAATCAATAGAGAATAATAAAAAAGTTAATGAAATTATAATTCGCGCGTGGCTTGATCAGTAACGGGTGCAGAGCGCGCGGAGGGCAGGTTTTAAATTGTTACTTGCTGCTACGGAACCCTTCATGGGCGAGTCCGACTCTCACTTGGCCGCTTTTGTTTAATTATTCACATCGATAGTTAAATGACAATGTAAAAAAAACAAAAAAAAAATATTTAAATGTCACTCAATCTCAAATCAATGTTAGCCCCATCGTGCACGTGACGTTAGCGGGTGCAGGGTGTGAGGTCCGTTCGGCGGTGTGCCTCTTAAGGGCCCCATATACGGAACGATTCGTCGTTGCGATCGATCTGAAGGAAATCGTCAACGATCGATCGTTCAGAAATGCCCCTACATACACGAAACGATTGATCGTAACGATCTATCATTTACTTGTTTCAAACGGTAGGATAAAGACGTACTCAAATAATTCAATACTTGCCCTTAAAATGGAAAACGAACTCATGATTGCATGAACGATATTCATGATTGCATGGGATTTGGTTGCGATTTGCGATTTCGTCTTCGATTAAGTAAATCGTTAACGATCTTGACATACTGTCGATCCATTGTTTCGATCGGTCTGAAACGACGGATCGCACAGATCAATCGTACCGTATATGGGACACTGACGATCGATCGTTTACGATATTCATGATTGCATGGGTTTTTGTTGCGATCTCCGATATCGTCTGCGATTAAGTAAATCGTTAACGATCTTGACATACACTGTCGATCCATCGTTTCGATCGGTCTGAAACGACGGATCGTACAGATCAATCGTTCCGTATATGGGCCCTGTTAAAGGTGTCGTCGTCTGTAAACAGAGGTTTTGCCTGCGTTACAATAGGTAAAAAAAAGTATCTACCCCCCAGGGGTATGGTGGGTTTGGGATGTCAAATATCACAAATATCATATTTACAGCAGTCATACACAGCGCGAATTTTATTAAATTACAACATTTCCTAAAGTTCAAGCGGCACTTTTTCTTGTGTCAGCATACATAGAGATCATCAACCCTATCCTCGCCAAACATGCCCGACGCACTACACTGCACCGCCACGGCAGTTTAAGCATTGCTCTAATTCACACGTAGAGTGCGGTATGCTGTTTTTGTTTAAAGAAAATATATTACTAGAAAAAAATCCACGCGGGCCAGGCAGCAGACGGGACTCGAACCCGCACCCTTCGCTATCCGGGCGAATGCACTGACCAATAGGGATGATGACTATTTTTTTTTCTTCGTTTATCAGGTAGATTATCAAAAAGTATTGGACACGTATTTTTTCTTTTTTCACATAATATAAACATTGCAGAGATATATTGATTTGAAAAGACGCATGACGTCACGTTTTGGTACACTTAAGTGAAAATTCACTAAAAAGTGACGTCACGAGCCCTTACTCCCAAACTTTGACGCGCTATAACTTTGTCATTATTTGGTTGACAGTTACCTACAAGTGATATTTTTTCTTTAGATTTAAACATCGAACAATTATATGTAACATGCTTAAAAAATATAAATTATAGTTTTTGTTTATTAGGCGCCAGGAGCGTATTTTAAAATACGTCCCGGGCCGCCTATAATTTGCAGCACTTTTCTCAGATGAAATATCTCTGTTGCCGCTGTAATACGTAAATACTAAAAACAGAATAAAATAAATATTTAATAAACGTGATTGTTTTGCCGTTTTCGCTCGATATTACTCTATATTATCTAATTTGGTATAGATTACACTCGGTACGGAAACCTTCGCATTTTTTTTTATGAAGTATACAATTTTTGACGTGACAACGTCTTAAATTAGGTTGCGGCTGGGAGTCACTTATGAAAAAGTGTAACGCTCGGTAACGTTACGATGAGTCTCTCGTGTTAAGTTTAAGTTTACATGTACAATGTTTTAGTAAACAAAATATATTTCTATAGTTAAAATTTGTGCAATTCTTATTTTCATTCAATTCCTTGTTCCTATTGTGCAATTTAATTATATTCATATCAATAAATATTCTACCGAGAAATGGACGTTGTCACGTAAAATCTTCGCCCGTAAAACCGACTTTACAGGCAACCATTTTGACGTGACAACGTCTTAAATTAGGTTGCGGCTGGGAGTCACTTATGAAAAAGTGTAACGCTCGGTAACGTTACGATGAGTTTAAGTTTACATGTACAATGTTTTAGTAAACAAAATATATTTCTATAGTTAAAATTTGTGCAATTCTTATTTTCATTCAATTCCTTGTTCCTATTGTGCAATTTAATTATATTCATATCAATAAATATTCTACCGAGAAAAAGACGTTGTCACGTAAAATCTTCGCCCGTAAAACCGACTTTACAGGCAACCATTTTTTTTTATTTCATAGCTTCGTTGATAAGGGAAACAAAACCAAAATGGTGAACATGCCGGATTTTAACTGCATTCCAATTAAATAGTGATGTGACTAATGCTGGAAAAAATTAACAGGTGACATAGTAAATAATTCTGCCATCATCCAGCATTGCAATATTATTACGTATTAGTTCGGAATTTTAAAATTTTTGTTTGTACCTAACAGGAAAAAAGTGCTCTCGAACATGACGTGTGCGCCGCTGAAGACCAAGCGAGCGAGATGAGCGTTGGTGAGACACATTTAGATCTTTTTCTTATTCTTCTTTTGCAAACGCCTAATATCTGTGGTCCCACCATTACGCCCCACTGGTAGGACCACAGGTTCTTTCCCCTTAGGGTTTACGGGTAATTGAAACCAAACCGCCTTTCACTGTGGTCCCAGAGCTGATGTGCATCTGAATTGAGTGATCCTTTAGTTTTCAATAAAACCAAAACGTACATTTAGTGTAAAATTGTCAAAACTCATAACTGAAATAAAAAAAAATGTCACTCAAAGGCGATCGAAGATATTGCCTAAAATGTGGATCATTTAATTCAGACATTAGGCAAAATAGTATACGCTGAATCTCGGAAAACTTTAAAGCTGTGAACAAAATTTTGATATTAAAAAATTGTACAGAATTTGTGACATTATTTTACAAAAAATCAAATTACTTCAACGTAAATCCAGGAATCTATGATAGTTTCATTGGATCACTCAATCCTGACGCATTTGGATTGAGTGATCCTAGAAATACGGCGTTATGTTTACGAAGTGCATAATATTATTTTGCCACCTTGAAGGTAACTTTTGGAAATATCTGTACAAATTAATAACACCACAAATGCTTATAGTTAAAAAGTTATGACCAATCAAACCTTTTTTAATTTGCTGAACTGAGTGATCCTTATAAACGCATGTAGATAACTACCTCTTAGTATAAAGTATACAGAAAATACGTTGAAATTTTGTACAATATTTCGACTAAAATTTGGCATATAATTTATTTGAATACGTCGTTCCATTCCCGAGATTTTCGTTTTTATTTTATTGTCAAAAGAAAAGACCAAGGGTGACCATAATAAGATTTGATTGGAAAATTAAAGGCTACACACAAAAAACTATCTGACGTTATTTAATAATGTTTATGGAGTCCATAAAAAGTCGGATATTCGTCCTTCTGTTGTATAATTCAGTAAAAAAACTAAATCAAAAATGCAATTTTCAAGTTGCCGCGGTAACGTTTCTCTGGTCACTATGGCGTCTCACTAGTATGTGATGTCACACGACTAATGACAGTCGTCAACGTCGTCAAACGATATAATGTAATGTCACTTTGGCCGGAAGTTTACTAGCATGTGACGACATTTTAATCTTCGCCAAAATGCCGGGCGTTTACTGTCACGTGACCATAGAACAAAAAAAAAATTCTATTGAATTTCTTTTTCAAAAGTTATTAATTATTTGTTTTTTCAGAATAGTACAATCGCTGTTAATATTCATATTAAATACAGATGCCAACAATTGATACTTTTATTTTTGACGTGATAGTCTTTTAAATCGATGAACACCGGCTGCACGCACGAAGCGAGAGCAGGGAACAAGCGATAAAGAGATTTATCTGATACCGATGCGCATCGATTTCATAAATATCAAAATCTCCCATCTTTAATAATGAGTGTGGGACGGGTAGGGTGGCGCAACTGCCGCAACGAGCTGGAAGGCGCGCGCGCGGCCGCCGCCGTGAGCGAGCACGCGCTGTCGCTGGAGCGCGCCGCGCGAGATGAGGCGCGCGCGCAGCGGGACCACGCCTACCACAGGGTAACTACAGCCAGCGACCATTACCCACCGCGAGCACGCGCTGTCGCTGGAGCGCGCCGCGCGAGATGAGGCGCGCGCGCAGCGGGACCACGCCTACCACAGGGTAACTACAGCCAGCGACCATTACCCACCGCGAGCACGCGCTGTCGCTGGAGCGCGCCGCGCGAGATGAGGCGCGCGCGCAGCGGGACCACGCCTACCACAGGGTAACTACAGCCAGCGACCATTACCCACCGCGAGCACGCGCTGTCGCTGGAGCGCGCCGCGCGAGATGAGGCGCGCGCGCAGCGGGACCACGCCTACCACAGGGTAACTACAGCCAGCGACCATTACCCACCGCGAGCACGCGCTGTCGCTGGAGCGCGCCGCGCGAGATGAGGCGCGCGCGCAGCGGGACCACGCCTACCACAGGGTAACTACAGCCAGCGACCATTACCCACCGCGAGCACGCGCTGTCGCTGGAGCGCGCCGCGCGAGATGAGGCGCGCGCGCAGCGGGACCACGCCTACCACAGGGTAACTACAGCCAGCGACCATTACCCACCGCGAGCACGCGCTGTCGCTGGAGCGCGCCGCGCGAGATGAGGCGCGCGCGCAGCGGGACCACGCCTACCACAGGGTAACTACAGCCAGCGACCATTACCCACCGCGAGCACGCGCTGTCGCTGGAGCGCGCCGCGCGAGATGAGGCGCGCGCGCAGCGGGACCACGCCTACCACAGGGTAACTACAGCCAGCGACCATTACCCACCGCGAGCACGCGCTGTCGCTGGAGCGCGCCGCGCGAGATGAGGCGCGCGCGCAGCGGGACCACGCCTACCACAGGGTAACTACAGCCAGCGACCATTACCCACCGCGAGCACGCGCTGTCGCTGGAGCGCGCCGCGCGAGATGAGGCGCGCGCGCAGCGGGACCACGCCTACCACAGGGTAACTACAGCCAGCGACCATTGCCAACCAATCTTAACACTGAACTTTCACCACAGCCGGATTGGAGCGCCCATCTATATAGAAGCAACCTCCACCTTACAGAAGACATCAGACATAGTTGTTTCAACACATTTGCTCTAAAATGCATTTACGAAGGTTGTATAGATTGTTCGAAGGTTAAAAATTACGGGTCATACCATAACAGAGCGTGCTGTAAAAATTTTACCACACGCTCCTTAATGAAAATGGCGTGCATTTCCATATGGCGCCACGTGCGGGTAGCGAAAATTAGAAGTATAGATTAAAAGCGCTTCCAAAAAGGTTCAACCGAAGTTTTAAAAAAACCGTAAAGCATACGCACGGTTTCATATACGGGAGAGTTGTTCTATCATATGCCCCGTAATTTTGAACTTTCAAACAATGTATACAACCACCGTAAATGCATTTTTTTGTCAATGTATTGAAAAGTAACATTACCCTTAGGTGGTGCTGCGTTTGCTACTGGGTAGAGTTTAAGGGCTCGGCGGAGTAAGTTTAGCCGGCTAGGCGGAGATCACTAAAGCGGCACACTATCGCCGCATCAGCTATCTTTGCGACCGGACTCCACTTACACTTAACATCAGGTGTGGTGGGATGGGATAATTTGTTGCGCCTCGTATGAAAAACAAGCTAATGCGGTGCGAGTGAGTGGCACGGACAGCCTGACACCGTCAATACAAACGTTTCTCTTCGTGCACGACAGAAACTTTGTGTGTTTTTTTTCTACTTATTTATAAAAGACTTTTGTCCAAAAAGGACACGTCAGTCCTACTGAATCTTAATCTAAATACATAGCATACAGAAAATTAATATTTAAGCAAAAATAATTAAATTTGCGATGCTATTCGACATGCTTCACCATATCACATAGCAGCTTAGCTGCACCAGAGCTAGGTTCTCCCAAAATAACTTGGAAGACCCCGATGTCTAGCTTATTAAATCTTAGTAGAGATATAAGCTCTGGACATGTCTGTGCTTTCTTTACTCATGTACCTAGGTGGGGAAAAGACTTTCTTTACCAATACATTGGTGCCAATTCTGGCGTGATTCTCTAAACTTAAAACTCAATTTAACATCAGCCTCTCCTTTTCATTCTATATAGAGAATGACAAGGATATACTGCTGTCAAAATTAAGTTTAGGTTTAGTGAATCATGCTAGAATCGACACCACTCTAACGCATAAAGTTTAAAATTACGTCGTCACCACTTTTACTGAATTCAACTTTGAAAGTATGTAGGATGGAATGCTTTGCCCGATCAAGTATTCCCTCCGTTCCTCTTACAATCCAGGGTCCTTTCAAAGAAGTGTGAAGACGCAACTTGCAGGTCGGCAAAGCGAGGATGCTGGTGTGACAGGTAAAGCTGTTGCGCCAGCTATCTTCGCGTCTGGACTCCACCTTGACATACAGACAAACGACAGAGTGACAGCAATAGGGTTCCTATTTTACCCTTTGGGTACGGAACCCTAAAAAAATGTATTCTGGGCGTGTGCTGCGATAAGCGGAAACACGGAGCAGACGTCCGCTACAGGTGCAGTACAGGCGGGAGACCCGCATCACGCAGCACTTCTCTATGAAATTAAATGAAATCACAAATTACTTAGATTATGACTAAATGCAAACTGGACGCGGAGCGAACGTCCGCTCTGTGCTCCCGCTCGAGTGCCTGTCCGTCTCCAAGTCACGACATCGTTGACGTAATACGGTGCCGGTAACGTTGCTTTACGACCAGCTTGTTTTTTTTTAACGATGAGAAATCCCTTGATGTACCGTACCGTGCGCTGGCGAGGCGCATGGCGTGTGTGGGACCCACCCGGCGCTGGATACAGCGCCAGTCCTACCCACTAAAACTCACCGGTACCCTCCTATGCCCATGTGGGAGTGTCTCGGGATCGGCGGGACGCCTCCATTTCACCGGGACGCCCCCGGTAGCACGAGCCCCGCAATATGATATATATCACGTTTTTATCACACTCAAATGTCAAATTACTATGAAGTTTGACGGTTAGAAGCGATAAAAAACGTGATATAATGTAAATTGTGGTACTCGTGCCACGGGGACAGGTTTGCACGTTATGTCACGTCGACGACGTGAAGTGGAGATGTGGACAGGCACTCCCGGCACGCATTGGGGGAACCTTGGTCCTCAGAATGCGTGCCGGGTGATCGGTGCAGGAGTATTGCCTAGTTTTAACTGGCCCTGTTTGGGTCATTAGGTAGGGCTGCTGCGGCATCAAGCCCGGTGCTGGATGAAAGGAGCAGCTGGCCTATTCGATAACTTTTTTGACATTTACAATGCAACTAAAGAGAAAATTGCATATCCATCGATGCTTTTCAGAACAAATATCTTAATGGCGTTATAATAATGCAGTAGTGGATCACTTAATAGCTCGGTGATTATCACATCCATCTGTCAAAAGCTGTTAGCAAATAGGCCCTAAGAGAGGAGTCCCAGATACCTTCATCTCGCTTCCCTGGTCGTTGAAGAATGCGTAAGGCATAAAGAAAGGTCCGTGTTGAGTGGTATTATAGGGGGCGTATGTTTGTCAGTTGTCGATGATAGAGGAAGAGCTGTCGCAGCACGAGGCGTTGCTGTCGCAGGCGGAGGCGGAGGCGGCGGCGCTGCGGCACCAGCTCGACGATAAGGCGCGCCAGCTCGACGAAGCCCAGCACCGACTGCGCCTCGAGACAGAGTTGGTTACATTTCGATTTACTAATAAGTTTTTTAAACGGACTTGTTGTTTGCGGCAAACAACAAACATGACAAACACCGACCACAATCACCCAACATAAATACGCATCCACCTTAGAGCATGTATAGTGCTCTAAGGCATCCACAAGCTTGGCGAGCATGCCAAGTTTAATCCGGTTTTGTAAACAATATTCTTTTTTCTTTTTTCTTGATTTTTGCAAAAACCAACATCAACACCAAAAAAAGATGCCAACAGCGTTGTGTGTGTCGAATTCTATTTTGTATTTCTTAGGCACCCAGGCAGCGCCATCTCTTGCTATAATAGGTAACCCACTATATCAAACGAATAACATTCTTCGTACAACGCGCATTTTACCAACACTGCGAAGAGATGGCGCTGCCTTGCAGCATAAGAAATACTAGAAAGAATTCAACACGGCCATTGAGGCTCCGGCAGCATTATGGTCAGTGCATCCGCCTAGATAGCGGAGGGTGCGGGTTCGAGTCGTCTGCTGCTTGGTCCGCATGGTTTTCTTCCAAGTTTGAGATTTTAACATCTAGCAGTAAAATGTTTAAAAAATAAAATAAAACATTTATTTTATTATCCTTTTCTCTTTTCTGTCAGAAATTTTGTCTCATTCGTTTGTGTAACCGTCGGCGTCGGCGGTGTTGTAGGGCCCGCGAGCGCGTAGCCGAGGAATGTGGTTCTTTGAGCGTGCGCGTGTCAGACGCGGCGCGGGAGACCGAAGCCCTGCGCGGGGACGTGCGCGCCCTGCGAGACCAGCTGCGGGCCGTGGTGCTGCAGCTGCGGGACACTGAGGAGCAGCTGGCCTGGTGGCCGCGCCCGCTCACCAGGTGAGCGCCCCCTGACGCGAGACCGGCTGCGGGCCGTGGTGCTGCAGCTGCGGGACACTGAGGAGCAGCTGGCCTGGTGGCCGCGCCCGCTCACCAGGTGAGCGCCCCCTGACGCGAGACCGGCTGCGGGCCGTGGTGCTGCAGCTGCGGGACACTTGGACAGCTGTGAGCACCCCCTGCGCCTAAATCACGTATCACCGTCGCCAATGGATAAACACCAGCAACCTACCAGAGTCTACGTATTAACATGTAGGAAGGCCAAAGGGGAAGATCTTCCTCCGAGCTGGGTAATGGTAGCTCGGGGGCCACGGCCCGACTGATATTGGTCGGGCATCGTATATATGAAGAGTTAGCCTCCGAATTTAATTTGCGCGATGTAGGCTTCCATATCTGTGGGGCATATAGATGTCGCCGCCACAAACACATTATTTTTTGTTGACGTTGGCTGTTTAAACGTTTCACTTGTCGTTCATTGGCAATGAATGATGACAGATCGGAAGCCGGAAGCTTTCATCGCGTAGGCACATTTCCATGCACGTCAATATAAATTTCACTTTCGGTTTTTCATCGATGAAGCATCGAAATGAAAACAAAAATGAACAGCATACACACTCAAAACAATAAAAAAAGAGCAGCTCATAATCCAAAGACTGTTAATATTTGCACTTATTAAGATGGCATTCCGAGACGGACTGCAGACCGCAACAACACCACTTGCTTCTTTGAAATTAATTTCGAACACGGTGCGGCTTGTCACCGTGCTTGGAAAAGCAACCACGCGGTCTTGGTTGCAGTCTGCCGCCCGTCTCGGAATTTTACCTTTATTTTAACTGGTTGTGGTTTTTATACTTAGGATGCTCGGTGCGGCGCGTTGGTTTTTCCGGCAGCCATTATCGTTGCCGCACGCGGCTCGCTGCTTGCTGCTTCCCGCGCGGCATGGCTGCTGACGAAGGACCGAGGGTACCTCCCTGTGGAACCCCTAATTTAGCCTACCTTGACAACGCCTTTATATATCATATTTTGAAAACCCATAAAAGTCTAAACGAAATATTCGAATGTCAGCTATCAAGCTTTTTTTGTTCTACTGTGTAAAACAAACAATAAAACTTGTGGTATCTCTGCAATATGAATTCAAAAGCCACACCAGAATCCAATAATGATTGAGCAAAAATTCAGCTTGCAGTAAGAGATTTTTTTAAATGGTTGTTTGTGAAAGTAGGCGCAGGAAAGTAAGTAATAGTTTTGACAACTTTAATGATCTCGGTAAGTATTTTCTCGTATATTTAATGAATTATGTTATAAATTATTTACAGATGTTTTGTAGGGATATTGTAAGTTTCTTGATAAGTTTGCGTTTAGAAGTTGTAAGTCATTTTATTGTTTAGAATAAATGTGTAAAATTATTAACAGTATTTTATTAATTGAAAACCATGGTAACATAACTCTATTATATTTATTCTAATTATTTCTTGTGATAACCAATGGTGAATCAAACTTTATTTCTATACTTCTGTTCCCGCCGGACCACCTTTAATTTTTGGTTTAGTTACATTTATTGGAATAATAAAATAAATATTCAGAACGTATGAATTTTAATTATTATGCAAGTTAATCCAAGTGTCCTACTTGTATGTTTTTTCATGGTACTAATGGGATAAATCAGTGCCATTTGTACCATCAATGGTACTGCTTTATGGTAGGTACAGATTGTGCGGCGGTTTAGAGGGTAGAACTACGAATTCGATGTCCTGTCTGTTCAATTGCTAGTACATACAGGATATTTGTAACAAATGTTGTAATGGTACAACAGTAGAACAGATTGTAATAACCCACTATTCTAATGGCTTAATTACAATTGGTCGCTAGCCTGAATACGATTGCCAATGGAATTCGGGCAATCGACTAAGTGTAAATGAAAGTACGCTCATATTCGGGTAGTTTTCGTTTTGGTTACCCGATACCGTCTTCCAGCCCGTTTTCGTGTAAATATTGCTTCGGATGCCCGAATTCGAGTAATAAATAATAAATAAATATAAATATTTCCAACAGTCACACCAATTAGCCTAGCCCCAAAGTAAGCACTGTAAGGCTTGTGTTATGGGATACTAGGGTAATGGATAGAATACATATACTGTACATATATAAGTATTCTTATATAGAAATACATATTAAACATCCATGACTGGAGTACAAATGTTCGTATTCATCACACAAACGTCTGCCCCCACCGGGATTCGAACCCGGGACCTCTCGAGTCGGCAACACCATGAAACCCAACGTACAAACCACTCGGCCACGGAGGTCGTCAATGTATTTAATAATATTTTTCAGTAATGTATTTCGTGCACCCGAATAAGTGTAATCGAGCCATTAGGATGGATGGAGTACAGATTAATTAGGAAAAATGCGTATGGAGTACAGAACAATTAGGAATAATGCGGATGGAGTACAGAACAATTAGGAATAATGCGAGTGTTGGATTTAGTAATGAAAAAATATAACATTTTGTCGTATAATTTATTTCAGTCTTACTTTAAACTCTAATCAACAATTCTACTAGGTATTGTTTCTACATTGGAATCGTTTTTTTATTCTATGAGACACTTAAGGTACGATTAGATTCTCGGCAATAGAAAATAAATGATTTCCGCCGTTCCTTAAATTCCTATTGGTATGGAATATGTCAGCAGGGTAGGGACCCATGTCCCTGTTGACATATTCCATATATTCCCACTGGGTAACTGGAATTATTTTTTTCCAATTTACACTATCGGTTGGAATATATGGAACTTTCTATTCCATATATATCCCTATACTGATCCGCACTGGTTGGAATATTTGGATTTTTTTTATTCATCCCCTACCAATGGGGACCCGTCAGTAGCGATATATAGAACGGCGGAATAATTTGCATATAAATTAAGAATTTAACTAAAAACAACAATATAACACTCAACAATATTAATATTTTTTGAAAAATACTTCATTGACTAGAACAAATAGAAAATTGCTTTGTGACATCTTTTCAAATTGGACTAAGGGGTCAATGCACAGAAAGTTACCCCAAACCTACTTAAAAGTATTTACATAATAAATATCATTTAATTTATTAACAAATCTTTGCTTAAATTAAAATTCTTGATTAGTTTTAATCACAATTATCTTAAAACTATATGGTTCCGCATTAGTCCGAGATACTTAGTGTTAGCTGGCAGTCAAAGCAAGAGTCTAATGAATTTGTCGCAGCCATTTGGTAAAAATAGTCGACCAATTGGACGTCCTAGGCCGTTCTTTAAATACCGGCATCCAATGAAATGCCTCAAGCGCAACATGTACATTGTGTTGTTATTCATTTAGTTAAATTGGATGATATTAATTAATTTGTGGTTTGTTAGGTTGGGTTTGTTTTGAAGACTAATAATGCCGCAGTGACTCCGCAGTGACTTGGCCATTCCTCTTCAACTAGCTGACTGTAAATTTTTATACGTCAAGTTGTAAAACGTCGTAGAGACAAAATAATTATCGACCTAGGCATGAAATAAGATGCCAGCGATCATGGCATTACATGACAGACCCACCATACCCCTAGCCATACCCCCAGGGGTAGGGTGGGACTGAACCATACCACCGTAGTGCTGTGCACTATATGCTTTCAGATTTTGTTTTACCGAATATTACCTGGTGTCAATAGCATCCCATACGACATAGTATAAATATGTACTTATAATTAATTTTTACTTGATTGTTCTCAATAATAATCTTATCGTGTATTTATTTCAAGTATCCTTTTGTACGTAGTAAATGCAGTTAGTGCACAACGAAATCACCATTGGGCATGCGTTAGACTTATTAAGAACATAGATTAACATCTTAATATAACATAATAATAATAATTAACATTTCATATTAACATCTGTTTAAAATAAATAACAAAAAAAGTATTTGTTATATTTTAAGGTTTTGCCAGAACGGATTTCGGTTTTTTTAATAAACTAAATATTTGTATCTGTTTGGTATCTATTTTTATTCTATTTTTCCATAAAATCCCAGCACTACAACGGTGGTATGGTTCAGTCCCACCCAACCCCCAGGGGTACGGCTAGGGGTATGGTGGGTCTGTCATGGAGCATTAAATGAACAACCTAGGCGTCCAACACCCATTTAGCTAGCTAGTTTAACACAGATGCTTACGACATATTCATTCTTACAACTCTTTATAATTTATACATACATAGAATTTGGGAATGGGGATTAAAATAAACTCCTTTCATTGGTTATTTATACGAATGTTATCCTATTGATCAATTCAATCATGAGGCCGTTTTAGGCCATGCGCATGTGGTACGAAGTGACAAAGTATATATTTTGTACCCTTTAGTAGTAAAGGTATTTTATTTACTTATATTAAATAATTGATGATAGCAAACAATCTGGTAATCTTGTTTGACACGAATTAATCATCAATGAGTTTATGATTTCCATGTCATATTTTAGAATACTTATGTATACATTGCGTAAAAGAAGTTGTACAGAATAATGTGCCTAATGGCGCCTACATTGTTTATTTGCATCATAGTGATGTTAGAATTTGTCATAACGAGACCACACGATAATTGTAATACTAAAGAATTAATGATAAAAATATACTGTTTCAATATTGAAAGGCACAGATTACATGAAATTCATTATATATCACGCCATAAAAGACTTTATGCTGATATTATTGAGGTTGAAAACGCGGAGCCCGCTTTTGGAGTGGCGCGATCTGTCACATGACGTGAGCCTTTTGCATAGAGCAATGCAGCCAACGCGACTAGGTGGGGAGTAGCTATAATGACATAATAATACTGAAATCATCACAAATGCAGACCAACATACTTACGCAAAAACTAAATTGTAATAACGACACTCACACATTAACAATAACAGCACTAAATCGGGCATAGATGAAACTTAGATTTTTTTTATTGACATTTTTTTTATGCTAAATAGGCAATGCGTTTGACCACAATCTCACCTGATGGAAAGCGATGATGAGGCCTAGGATGGTACACGCCTGCCTAGAAGACATATCTGAAATTAGTACTGGCGAATCGATTGTTTTGTCAAACAAGTCCGACGATTGAATTTTAACATAATAATATGAATTTTGTGTTTAAAAATGGTTAAATAGAAATAATATGCTAATAATTCTACTTAAATGTTAAATTTAACATCATCCTTTTGTAAGTTTAATATACCAGATATGTTTTACAGCAAATTACATAACATTTTGGCATTTTTGATGTTTAACATACAATCGCGCGACTTGACTCAGTCTTGTCAAATATCCGACGCGCAACTAATTGTGTTTTTGAGTTGGCCCAACAGTGGGGGAAAATCGACAGAGGGGAACGCTGTGAATGCCTACTCCCCTCCTGGCCGCGTCGCTCTATGGCCTGTTTTTAATAAGTACTTAGCTTAAAATCGCGGCGAAATATGTACCTATCTCAAGCCGCCAATACATGTTGGCCGAGCTTAACCCAAAGCGAGCGTAGGCAAAGAAGGCAAGTGCTACCGTCTAGATATTGGGCAAGTTTGAAATGCCAGTGGCCAATATAGAAGAGCTTTGTGGACCTGTTTCATACTTCGGTGCATTATCAGTTTTGTAATTTTGTTGGACGAATGTTCGCGAGCGACGCCAAATGAGGTCTACACACGTTCGCACTTCCCTCGGCAAATTAGGCAGGCGACGACGAGCGTTGACAAAGCAAGACAAAAATCTATATTGTCTTTACTTTGGTATTGGTTTTCGCTTGGCTGACATGTATGGGCGCCTTTATGAAAATGTCGAAACATTTGCACAACATGAAGACGAGGTTTCTACTTTTACATATTTACGAGTCACAGATGTATGAGTTATATACACAAGACTTTACGGTCCAATTTTTATTAACGCTATTTACGTATGGTAGAAATTACTACGAAAAGACGGAATACTTAAGCTTAAATTAACTGTACAATCTTTAAATTTGTTTCTTACGTTTTCACGCACATCACTCATTAAATAAAACTAGTTCTTCACGGGTTGATGCACGAAACTTAATTTATATAAATAAATAAAGTTTCGTGCATTAACCCGTAAAAAACTAGTTTTATTTATGTACAATCTATATTTGAATGCATCAGACATTGTGCGATCGCCACATTCACGACAATAAACACGTTGGGTATTACTTTTATTGTCAAACTTTATCAATTCCACAGAAGATGGGTTGTTCGGCAGGATCCTTTGCTTACACTAATCGAGTCCTACCAACTTCGGGCGCTTCTTTCACCGGATCGTTTCGTTTCGAAGTGAAACTTCTTTTGTGAAAAGTGAACTTTCTTAAAGTGAAAAATCTTATAGAAAAGATTGAAACGG